AAGTAACACTGACCAGGGGGAACGGTTCCTACAAGGATACTACAGAAGTAACACTGTAGTACTTATAAGGATGGATGTCCAAAACATTTGACACGGCGACACACACACAGAGAACTATCACTTTTGTGTCGTCTATCTATAAATCAGACAAGATCGTAACAACTACCTTATTTTTAGTGACGATCATGACCAGAGCAACCAAGCTACAACAGGGAAATAACTTTAGAGCTAGGTGGGGGTCTCGTGCAATGGCGTTAGATTAACAGAATGATAACCAATGAGATCGCACGAAAAAAGTAGCTCGTGACAAACCCTCGAGGCACGCTCTAGGCCTAGGCGAGGTCACGACACCAACCATCAAACTACAAGATGTAATCAGAGAAGGAAAAGAGTGTGTTGGAGAGTCGGCTTTCACTCTCACGAAACAACAACAACAACATATATAAGTTCACTCTCACGAAACAACAACAACATATATATGTTCACTCTCACGAAACAACAACAACATATATAAGTTCACTCTCACGAAACAACAACAACATATATATGTTCACTCTCACGAAACAACAACAACATATATATGTTCACTCTCACGAAACAACAACAACATATATATGTTCACTCTCACGAAACAACAACATATATAAGTTCACTCTCACGAAACAACAGCAACAACATATATAAGTTCACTCTCACGAAACAACAACATATACAAGTTCACTCTCACGAAACAACAACAACAACAACATATATATGTTCACTCTCACGAAACAACAACAACATATATAAGTTCACTCTCACGAAACAACAACAACATATATATGTTCACTCTCACGAAACAACAACAACATATATAAGTTCACTCTCACGAAACAACAACAACATATTTTTGTTCACTCTCACGAAACAACATCAACAACAACAACATATATAAGCTGCATAAAGGCCACATTACTTTCGACATCCCACAAGGTAAGGTGTTAACTTGTGTAAGCACGTACAGATAATTGGACTGGATCATACGAGAAAGTCTGGAAGGTACTTTTAGTTGCCGATAAACGTTCAACAAAACGATAGTAAACACTTGGAAAGTAAAATTTGTTATCCGTGTGATAGGAGAGAGGTACCAGGTTAGGGTTAATCTGACGCATCTTATTTTCAAATCATGGATCGTATAGAGGCAACCTGTGAAGCAGGTGCTATCAGTAGTATTCTAAATCACCTGTCTGCACGTTTCTCGAGCGCGTGTCACGGTCGTTCGCGCGATGAACGCGCACTTTGGCCCCTACAAATAGATGCACGTGGGCGGGGACCGGAAGTAACTTATCGCATGCTTATGCTTCAGGTATTTTCTAAGCCTACTTGGGAACAGTTCATGAAATGTTTATCTTTGTATGATTGATGTACTCAGCCAAACCCCAGAATGTTCCTTAACTGAAAAATAAATCAAAACTAATGTCCGCACATTATCACTTCACTCGGCCAAAATCCCTCTACCGACTGATATCAATCAGGACAGCAGTGAAAATAATTGTTACTCGTGACATAGGAACTCCTAGCCAGGGGGAGCCACATTCAACAAACTAAACCATCAGAAATAACACACGCAAGAAACTACTGACGCCATATAATATACGTTTTTGAAAATTTGGACGAAAACTTATAACCTTTGAATGAATTTTTTTTTCTTTAGATAACCACAGGAATTCCACTACTTGAGGATGCTGCTTCCGCTGGTTCCCTCGGGGGAGCGAAAGTACTTCCTGTTTCTACAGTTCCTCTGTTTGTTAGTTCCAGTGTGTAATCAACAAGTAACCGATAAAAGGTCAAATTAACTTAAACCATGCGGCTGATAGGCGAGACGTGTTACGGGAAGTCAGTCTGTGATATATCCCATAATAGTGTTAACTGTCTGAGATATCACTGGAAATATACTATCGCGCTTTTTAAACTACAGTAAAACATCACTACACTGTAATGTATTCCACTTTAAACTACAGTAAAACATCACTACACTGTAATGTATTCCACTTTAAACTAC